TCGCGGCACGGCCGCCTTTGTCCTGAGGAGCGGGCGCCGCGGGCGCCAGCCTAAGATGGCTGCCAAGGGCTAAGATGGCTGCCAGCAGCTCCGGGCGGGCCCGAGGCGCGTGGCGCCGGCCGGGTCGTGTTCCTCGAGCGGTGGCAGGCACAGCAGCGCCTTGCGGGCCCGGGCCGCCATGGAAGGGCTTCCTGTCTGCCGCGCTCCCCTGGAGCCCATTTGTCTCTGCCGCCGCATCGCTGGCCCACCTCCATCTCTTTGTCGGGCTCTTTCTCCGCACTCCGTCCATCGCTGCCGTGCGTGCATGCGTGCGTGCGTGTGCGCACCCACGACGCGCGGCCCTCCTGCCCACTCGGCTTTGCACGTGCGGGAGGCGCTGGGGTCGCCCGCGGGCCAGCGCAGGGCCCGGGGCTCCGGGGTGCAAGCCGAGCCCCCTCCGCGAGGTCTGTGGCAGAGACCCCGGGCTGCCAGCCCGCGCCAGGGCAGCGGAGGCTTGGCGGACCGCCTGCCCTGGAGCTGATCCCCGCAGAGCTGGGACAGGCCGGGCGCGGGCAGGGACGGGGACGCCACCTGTGTCACGCGGGGTCTAAGAGGCCCTGTCCAGCACAGCCCTACCAGGACCCTACGGGAGGGGAAAGCGAGGTGGGGTGCCAGGGCGACCTCAACAGCAGGACACGTCCGCGAGGAGAAAATGCCTAGGGGTGGTGACCGACCTCCAGGTCCTAGTGGGGGGCATAGGAGGGTGGACCCCAAACCATAGATACAGGAAAGGTTTTGTTATAAGCCTCTGTTTTGTTCATTTGTTATAAGATACATGTTTTTTCTCTGGAATGTAACAATTTGAACTGGGAGATGGGCCCCAAACCTTTCCCCTTTTTACGCAGCAAATGGAGGCAGGCAGCCAGGTACTGGCTGGGACTGCAAGCCCCAGACACGGCAGGGCCTTCACTCTTAGGGTGGCTGGGGCAGGCAAGGCTACTGTTGTGCCCACCTCCCTGGTGCCCCATCCTTCCTTGGGGTGGGGGTTGCAGAAAGATGCCCGAGTTAGGGCTGCCCAGGGCCTCTGGAGACTGGGCCAGGCCCTGGCCCACAAGGCATGGTGCTCAGATGCCACCTCCCTACCCTTTGAGTAGCCCATCTTGTGCCGAGTGCCTGCCTCCCCTGCCACACAGCCCGCCCTGCCCCCCCACCAGCTGTCGTGCCTGGGCAGGCATTCTGGAGGTCCCCACCGTGCCCCTGGCACAGAGCTCTGAGGACCTGGGGTGGGGGTGGGGGGCTTTCCCAAGCTCAGCAAAATATTCACACACACACTCTCCTCCCTGCCCCCAGCTTTCTCGAACTCCCACTGCACAATGGGCCCTTGTCTAGGGCTCCTTCCGAGCAGCTGTGGCACTGGGGCATGAGACAGCCCAGACAGGCTGGCACAGGGCGGGTGGCGGCAGGGCACAGCCCCCTCCGGTTGCCAGGCACTGCCTGCTGGCAGATAGGTGAGCGGAGGGAGGCTCAGGCCCATGACATAGCTTTAAGTGAGTTAGGGACGGGATGCCCCTTGTGGACTGGAGCTGGGTGGGGAGGGGTACCCTTGGGCCCACCCAACTGCAGGCAGCATGGTCACCAGGCTCTCCTGAGCACCTTCCTTGCTTCCTGCCTCTTGACCAGCGCTGCTCACCCTTAGGGGTCTTACTTAGAACACAGCGGGCAATGTCTGGAGGTGGCTGGGCTGCCACACTGGGGTGCTCCTGGCATCTCATGGGTGGAGACCTGCAGTTGCTTGCGCAGGGCAGAGGCTGAGATCTGCATGCAGGTTGTCCTGCAGCTGTCCTGTCGCCCCTGCTGGCCCTGGTCAGGAAGGGGCAGGAGAGGATCTTTCAGACTGGAGCACCTAGTGTTCTGCAAGGGGCTAGGGGCAGTTACTTGGCTGGTGTTGGTGGTACGCTTCACTGCTGACCAGTGTCTTGTTTTTGTCTCCTGCAGAATCCGGACAATCAGATAGTTCAAACCAGCAAGGAGATGCGGACATCAAACCACTGCCCAACGGTCAGTGCTCACCCCCACCCCCACTCGCCCAGAACCCCTCTTTGGGTCAGAGCAGAGGAGAACATAGAAGAGCCCTCAGCCTGGCCTCGCTCATGATCCGTCCTTCCTTTCTAGGGCACCTCAGTTTCCAGGACTGTTTTGTGACTTCCGGGGTCTGGAATGTGACAGAGCTGGTGAGAGTATCACAGAGTGAGTTCTTTATTCTGTGCTGGGGGCTGGGACTAGGGTGAGGAGGCGGGACTCTGATCTCCCAGGCCCAGGGGCTTCCTGGGAGCCAGGTGGTGGAGCAGAACTGTCCAGAGAGCCTCGTGTCTATCTCGGATGCTCCTATGGGAAAAGGAGTCCCATGAGCCTTGGTGGCCCAGACAGTCCGACTTCCCACCCGCCCAGACACCTCTTCTGGTTCCTGGGGAGCTGCTTGTAGCTGCCACGTGGGCCCTGGGCACCTTTAGCCCTTGCCAGACCTCATCAGCCTTTCTTCTTCCCAGCCCCTGTTGCGACAGCATCAGGGCCCAACTTCTCACTGGCGGACCTGGAGAGTCCCAGCTACTACAACATAAACCAGGTGACCCTGGGGCGGCGGTCCATCACCTCCCCTCCTTCCACCAGGTGAGCCCCGTGCTCCGGTCTGCCTATCGCTCATTATAGCTCAGCCTGCTCAGCCACTGAAACTTCCTGCTTTGGCTGTCTCATAGCCCTTGACCTTGGGAACACAAACCACATGCTACATGCTGACAGCTGTGCCTGGATTGAGGATCCAGAGCCCCTTGTGAGGAGGAGGTGTTTGAGCCCCAAGACATGGAGACTCGCACAGGCCTGGGGGTGTTCCAGGCAGCATCCTTCATGGTGCAGACTGGATGGGGTGGGACCATTCACAAGGGCCTTGGGGGCGGTGGGGAACCCTAGGACACGATGCTGGGGACCTTGCAGGGGTTTGAAGCAGGGTGTGCTGGGCAGATGCGGTCTGGAAAGCTCCTTGCAGCAGCAGCAGCAGCAGCAGCAGCAGCTGGGCATGGTGAGAAGGGCTGGGAGCTGGAGAACAGAGGCCAGCAGAGGGCCGAGTCCTGGCCTATTGAAAATTGAGCTATTTTTATTTTATTGTGAGGTTTTTTACATTTTGTTCAGGTTATTATTATTATTATTTATGTTTTTCTTTTTATTTTTTGGCGGAACTGGGGATTGAACTCAGGTCCTTGCACTTGCCAGGGAAGCGCTTATTCCACTGAGCCATCTCCCCGGCACCCCTAGGTTATTATTATTATTATTATTATTATTATTAATGTATTTGGCACAGAGTCTCACTACACAGTTCAGACTCATAATGATCCTTCTGTTTTAGCCTCCACAGCACTGGGATTACAGGCATGCGCCACCATGCCTGGCTCTAGTGGCCAACTTGGTGGGCCTGGGGCAGGGCTGGCACAGCATGTGGTACTGGGGATCAAACCCTGGTCCTTGCACTTGCCAGGCAGGTGCTTAGACTGCTGAGCTATCTCCCTGGCCCTTATTTTATTTTTTGGGACAGGCCTTGCTATGTAGCCCAAGCTGGCTTTGAACTCATGGTGATCCTTCTGCCTCAGCCTCTGTGTGCTGGGATTATAGGCATGCACCACTACACCCAGCTCCTTTTGTTTTTGTAAAGTTTTACATGAAAATGTTTTCATTCTCTGTTTTACTGTGGTGCTGGAGACTGAACCCAGGGTCTTGCAAATGCTAGGCAAGCACACTAACCCTGAGCTACATCCCAGACTTATTTTTATTTTATTTTCAGACAGGGTCTTGCTAATTTGCCCAGACTGTTCTTGAATTTGTGACCCTCCTGCCTCAGCCTCCTGAGTAGCTGGGACTGCAGGCGTGTGCCACTATCTCCACCTCTCCCTGTAATATTCTGTGTTGGTGACTGAGTTTTGTAGCTGATAGGAGTTCATGGGTGTGGCTGAGGAAGCTGGAGAGTGTTTTTGCCTCTGTGGACCACGAGGACCTCAAGGAAGAGCAGACGGGTTGGGTCTGAGGGGCACGGGGTCTTGGGCTTAGCATCTAGTGGCTCCCACCTGCTCTCCACAGAGGGCTGTCCGTGTATGCGCAGCTTCTCAGCCTGGGTCTCAGCCCGTCTGACCATCTCCTCCCTCCCCAGCACCACCAAGCGCCCCAAGTCCATCGATGACAGTGAGATGGAGAGCCCTGTCGACGATGTGTTCTATCCTGGCACAGGCCGCTCGCCAGCGGCTGGCAGCAGCCAGTCCAGTGGGTGGCCCAATGACGTGGACGCAGGTATGTGCTTCTTGGGGCCTCTCCCTGCTGAGGAGGCCACACAGGCTGAAGGAGGGAAGAGGGGGGCACAAAGGGCCCGTGGGGGAGCAGCATCATCCATGGTAGCCTCTTCTTCACGCTGCCTCAGCCTCCTTTTTTGTGCCCTGGGCCCCTGATGGTTTAGAACCGTTTTCTTTTCTCAGCCTGGGCACCATGGCAGTGGAGGCTTTGCCATTCTCTGGTGGGGACAGCCCTGTGCTCTGTGTGGTGCACCACCTAAAATGCCAGGACCAGAATCCCACCCGTTATTTGGACGGCACAGGGAGCAAGACTCCTGGCTGAGCACGGCCGCCCCCAGGGAGCAGGTTTGCAGCGCCCAGGGAAGAATGGACAGAGCTGTTTCAGCTCAGGCCAGTGAGCTAGCAAAAAGCAGAGATTCTGAAGATATAGAGCAAGCTGATTCAGATCTCCAGGACCCCTCTGAGCAGCCCCTTCCTGCTAAGCCCACCCACTGCTGACCGAGGGCATGGACCCACTCGAGAGTCCCTGAAGAAGAGACTGTGTGTGTCCTGTGTGCATGTGTTTGCATGCCCGTGCGTGAGGTGGCTGCCTGTGTAGAGGAGCCCCTGGCCGGTGCAACAGAGGCATAGCCTGTGTTTCCTCAGGGCGTGCAGTTCTTGGGCCTGAGGGTGCAGAGCTGCCCGGGTGGGTATGCACGGGGTGTCATTCTCTGGCTCCAGCTCCGCCCTGATGGTACCTGGTCCTCACCTAGTAGGTTAGGGCTCACAGCTGCAGCCCCTGGAGACAGCTGTGGGAAGGGCCCTGTAAGAGGCCTGGGCGGGTAGAGAGAGTGCAGAGAAGGCCTGGGAGATGCCTCTGCAGCCCCGTCCCAGCCAGGTCTCAGTCAGGCACCCCCTTCTACCAGGGCTGCTGCTGGGGTTCCACTGGCTCCTGGAGGAGGCCTCAGGCCGCTCCTCACAAACCTTCCAAGGAGCCTGCTGTCCCTGGTTCCCGGGATTCTGGGTTCTTCCTTCTCATCTGTCTGCTCTTGTGCCTGTTCTTTCTGCTTCTCGCTGCATCCTGCCATGCTCAGCACCCTGAACACCCTCCTGCACTCCCCCCACCTTGTCGTCCTTTCCCTGGGCTGCGACAAATCGCCAATTAAGCAGCCCAGCTGCAGGACAGAGAACAGCTGGAGAGGCACTGTGCGGCAGCAGGGACAGCTGTGCACAGCTGGTGGGCACCCCCCCTCCCCACCATGCCAGCTATCAGGTGGCAGGCAGCTGCTGCCAGATAACACCTCTGCTGGCACGGGGAGTGCGCCCTTCCCCCGCCTCTCCCTCTGCTGTGAAGATGCTCTTGCTCTCCTTCTTTGCTCTGCAGCCCCTCCAGCCCCACCCCAAGTCCTTGGGTGTGGGACAGCAGCTTTAGAGATTGACCTCTGCTTTCTGTGCCCCTCCCAGCCTGGGTACAGCTTCAAGGCTTCCAGGGGACTCTGCCACCTGGAGCCCTGCTCTGTCTGGTATCCTCTGTATGCTGTGCCCACTGGGCAATAATGCCAGTGGCTGGCAGCCCCAAGCCCATGAGGCAGAGATCAAGTGGGGCCTTTTCTATGCCCATCTCCTGCCGAGTGTTCTCCTGCCGCTGACACCAGGATCAAAGCAGAGCCCAGCCTTGAGCCCCCTGGCCAGGGAAGTCCTTTCTGCTGGCTGTGGGCCTAGAACCCACCCGATACTCCAGCCCCCCATCCCTGCTGTCCCGTTGGATATGGTCCCCCTCCTGAGGGCCCCTGGCTGGGCTGTCCATCTTGAAAGGGAGTGTCAGCTTCTTCTGACCAGAGCGCCTGGCAAGGTCCAGGCCACCTTGGCATAGACCCCTGTGCCTTTTGGGCTGTCCCTGCTGCCCCTTCGCTGCCTGCCACTCCTGGCTGAAGCCAGCTTCCTAGGGTTCCTCCTTACCCTTCTATAGTACTGGCCCTGCATCCCTCACTGTTTCCTTAGTTGCCTGTCAGGGCAGGAAGGGCCCCTTGCTTGCCCCTGCCCAGTACCCAGGGGCTCATGGTCCCACATGGCACCTCACTAAGGCACAGGGGCCAGAGGCACGTGGAGAGGAAGGGGTAGGGGCTCCGTGGACAGAAGGACAGCTGCTGGCTTCCCTCCTTCCCTGCCACCCCAGCCTGCCTAAACCTGCCTGTGTTGCTGCTTCCTCCCCCCAGGCCCGGCTTCTCTAAAGAAGTCAGGAAAGCTGGACTTCTGCAGTGCCCTCTCCTCTCAGGGCAGCTCCCCGCGCATGGCTTTCACTCACCACCCGCTGCCTGTGCTTGCTGGAGTCAGACCAGGTGAGAACTGGGGGCCTGGATGGGGGCAGTAGGGGAGGCTGCTGGCCGCGTGCAGGGAGGCAACTCTGAGCAGGCCAGGGCGTCTGCCCTTCGGAAAGAACCAGGCCTCGGGCTGCTCCCGACTGCCCAGCGCCCTCCCACTTGCCTCTTACCCCCATGTGTAAGATGTTTATGTGTGTGTACACAGGTGCACACGCCATGTGCTCCCTAGCACCCCAGGCTCCCGCTCCTGCCCTCAGGCCCGGGCCCCCTTCTCCTACAGGCCGGCCACTGGGTGCCAGGACCCTCTGCGTTCCTTCCTTCTCTCCCTGCATCGTGCTGAGCCAGGGCAGGATGGGAACAAGGAGATGGCTCAGGAGTCTGGCCCTGCTGTGTGTCCCACTGCGGGCCCCCTGGGCTTCCCTGCCCTTTTCTGAACCTGATGGGCTCAGCTGCCCTATTGGGGACCCAGGCGTGCCCCCAAGAGTGCCTCTCTCCCTCGAGGTCTCCTTTGAGAAGGTATAAAGAGCACCTAGGCCTTCCCAAGGGGTGGGGCCGCGCGGGAGGACGGGAGCCAGCGCACCCCGCCGCCTCCCTCCCGGCCGGTCAGGTGGTCAGAAACTTGCCCTTCCTGACAGTGCGCGTCCCCCTCCGCGCTTTCCTCCGTAGGACACGGTTTGCCTCCCGGCGTCCTCCTCAGGGCCTCCGGGCTGCAGCCCAGCAGCGGGAGCCGGCAGGGCGTGGTGCCGCGGTGGGGGTGGGGAGCAGGCCCTGGCGGCCGTGGGAGGTGCGGGCGCTCTGCTTTGACTCAGTTTTATGAACTCCAGAGAAAGCCAAGTTTCCTCAGCCCCCTAATGAAACTGAGAGCAAGGCGAGCTGATTGGAAACAGGCGAGGGAGGACTCAGGGAAGAGCTGAGGCCTGGCCAGGGTGGGATCGCGTGTGCGAGGGCGCGGAGCTGGGCGCACGGATGTGCTGTGTGGCGGCAGCACCCGCACCCGCAGGTGAGCGCGAGTGCTGGGCGCAGCGTCAGAGCTGGGGCCCTGTCCTCCCTCACCTTGAATGCAGGGTGTGTGTGTGTGGGGGGGGGAAGCTCAGGGGGCAGCTAAGTCGTATTTTATTTTATTTATTTATTTTGGTACTGGAGTTCGAACACATGACCTTGCACTTGCGGCAGGAGCTTATGCCACTGAGCTATCTCCCCAGCCCAATAAGTTGTATTTTATTGTCTCTCTTTTTTATTTTGATGCTGAGGATTGAACCTGGGCCTCGCATATATATGCTAAGTGAGCACTGTACCACTAAGCTCTGACCCCACCCTGATAAGTCATATTTTAATCTGCTGTTTTTACAAATCATTGCTGTTGCTGGGTGCCGTGGGGCACAAATATGTCATCCTTTCACTCTAGAGGCTGAGGCAGGAGGATTTTTCCAAGTTCAAGGCCAACTTAGACTACATAATTTGAGGCCAGCCTAGACTACAATGCAAGAGCTTACCTGAAAGAAAAGAAGGGGGGGGAGGAGAGAAGGGGGGAGACAGAAAGAGAGAGAAGAGAGAGAGAGAGAGATCAAAACCACTGTAAAAAATATGAGCAAGTAACATTTAAAACAATTTTATACAAAGATGAAATCCAACTCTGCACTTGTAGAGTCAGCTCCACCGGCTCCTCAGCCACCTCTAGTCTGCCCTGGCTCCTGTCACACTTCATTCATAAGAATAAGAGACTCGCCTGATATGGTGGCCCATGCCTATAGTCCCAGTACTCAGGAGGTTAAGGCAAGAGGATTACTGTGGGTTTGAGGCCAGCCTGGGCTACGCAGTGAGTGAGTTCAAGGACTGCCTAAAACGACACAGTCTCAAACAAACCAACAGACACCCATCGAAACGAGTGCACAAGTGACTGCTAGATATAATGGCACAGCCCTTTAATTCAGGCTGTTTTGGAGGCTGAGGTAGGAGTGCTTGAGTGCAGGAGTTCAAGCCCCGTCTGGGCAATTTAGTGAGACTATGTCTCAAAATGAAAATTTTAAAAGGGGTTGAGTGTGCTCAGTGGTAGATGCTGCCTAGCATGTGGGAGACGCTGCATTCATCCCTGAGCTGCAGAAAATAAGTGGCTGGCCCTGAAGCCCTACTGCAAATTTGATTATCTTTTTTCTTGAGATAGGGTCTTGCTATGCAGTTCAGACTGGGCTTGAGCTCACTGTGTAACCCGGGCTGGTCTCAAACTCACAACGATCCTCTTGTCTCAGCCTCCTGAGTGCTGGGATGACAAGTGTGCGCCCCCACCACATCTGGCTGATTTTTTTTTTTTTTTTTTAGGAACTGGAGATTGAACTCAGGCCCTTATTCTACTGAGCCATCTCTCCAGCCCTGACTGATTTTTTTTTAAGATTGCATTAAAATCTTCTAGATCTCCATGAGTGGGTTTTCTTTGTGCCTGAGAGCAATGCCTCACTGCTTCTCCCTGCTCACTGCCCTCTCCCGGGGCCTCTCAGCTCCCATTGCAGCCCTCCCTGCTGTCCTGGACCATCTTGGCTCAGCCCTGATGCCTGTTCTCTTTCTCCCCGCCGCCTGGCACAGGGAGCCCACGGGCCACGGCCTCTGCCCTGCACTTCCCCTCCACATCCATCATCCAGCAGTCGAGTCCGTACTTCACGCACCCTACCATCCGCTACCACCACCACCACGGCCAGGACTCGCTGAAGGAGTTTGTGCAGTTTGTGTGCTCTGACGGCTCGGGCCAGGCCACTGGACAGGTGAGTGGGGAGGGCCTTGCAGCCCCACCGAGGCCTCATCTCCGCGTCTGTCTGTCTGTCTGTCTCAGGGCTCACAGGGAGCCAGCAGCAAGGCCAGGAGTTATCTGGGCTGCAGCAGCAGGGGCCAGTAGCACCTCACATCTCCACTGCTTTGGGATTGGAGTGAGGGCCCTGAGGCAGGGTGGGCCCAGCACGGGCTTCTGTTTCCCAGCAGGAGTAAGCCTGGAATCTGTCCACCTCCCAACACCCCACTCAGACCTTAGGGCTGCAGGGGTTTGGCGGATCTACATCAGTTTGCCATCTTGTCTCTGATGATGTTCGGGATTGTTTGTCCTCTGTGTGAGGCTGTCCTGGGCACTGTGGATACGGGCAGTTCCCCTGGCCTTTGCCTAGTAGGAATATGTCCATCTGTGGCAAGCACACATACCTATGGATTTCGGTGTGTCCTGGGATCAAGGCCATCCCAGGTGATGGCATTGTGGAGAGAGGAGGCTCCCATCCTGCCGTCTCTTGGAGACCTCTGCTAGCAGGACTCCTAACAGGGTTGCCAGCACCGTTTGGTTCTGGGTACAGCCCGGTCCCTGCAGAACCTCTCTCTGCTATGGGCCCTATGGCCTAGTCATAGATCACCAGAAACTCAGGGACTCCAGCAAAAGAATTACCCCCAAAGGTGTGGGTCACAGACATACTGGGCCCCGCTCGTGGCCCTTGGTCAGAGCACAGTGGGAGGTTGTGTGGCTGTAGCAATGTGCAGGCTGGAGGATGTGCCAGGGCTGGCGTTGGAGCGGCGTGTGCAAGCGTACACCAGAGGCACCAGGGATGCTGGCTGCCCTTCACTGTTCTGCAGGCACCGCCCCCGTGCGCCTTGCGTGGAAGGGTGTTGGCTGTGTGACTGGGGATGGCCACCCTCAGTCTCTCTGCTCTCTGTCCGTCATGAAGCTGGCCCTCCTCCCTTGGGCCTGCTCTCCCCGCTTGTGCTCTCCTCCTGTCTCCTCGCAAGCTCTGCAGCTCTTCAGCACCCTTGTGGCCTTGTGCAGCCCTCTGGAGAGGCTCTGCCAGTGTTGTGTGGGGCAGGCAAGAGCCGACCTCTTCATCAACAGCTGCTCTGCCGTCTTCAGAGGTGCAGCCGCGTCCCGTGGGAAGCCACTGGCCGTGCCTGGCCCTTCAGAGGGTCTGGGGTCAGGAATGCAGAGCAGAGAGACTGGGAATGGTGCCCCAGACACAGGGAACTTCAGAGGCAAAGGGGTCGGGCCTAAGAACCAGCTTGCCCAAAGAACCATGCAAGTGCACCCCATTAGGTCCCCAGCCTCTCAGCTTCTTCAAAGGCTTTCCTGGGGGAGTGGGGAGCCACTGGCTCCTGAGTCCTGTAGAACACTGCAGACAGGGCCACGGACAGGGACCTGAGTTAGCAGAGGCAGCAGGTTGCCAGCTGCCCCTCTGGGTCTCCTCTGTACTCGTCATCTCAAGGAGTCAGCTCAGCAGGGGACCTGTTGTAGTGTCCCAGGATAAAGACAGCTTATGCCATGGAAGAGAGCAGAGGCCTGTGTGGCACAGTTAGAGGGAGTTCTCAGACTGACTGTATCGCAGTCAGCTGGAGGTCTGGATGCACAGGTGCCTGGGCCCACTCCCAGGGCCTCAAGGAGGACCTTCCTAACTTCCAGAGGATCTGGAGTTACAGGCAGCTTTGCAAGCAAAAGAAAGGGTTCTTGGACATCCTAGTAGCCCATCAGAAAGGGCCGAGGCCAAGTGGCAAGAGATGCAAAGGGCAGACGGGACGCCTAGCCAGCTGCAGTGCAGTGAGAGAGCAGAAGGCCACGTGCACTGGGAAAGGACAGTGCCATGGCTGATGGAGGAGTGGGACCTTGGGAGGGGGGAGGGCTGCTTTTGGCCCAGCCTTGCCCCCATGCTGGCTGAGACAGCCAGGCGCTCTGCCTGTGAGACAGAGGAGCTGGGGCAGCTTCCAGAGCTCTCCAAGCTGCCAGCTGACTAAGCTGTAAGAGCACATGAAGTCAGGAGACCCTGAGATTCTTAAAGCCTCAACTTGCGCCCCACCTAGAGCAGAGACATCCATCCTGGCTGAAAGTTACTTCTAGAAACAAAATATTGTAAATTGGTCCTGGTCCTTGAAAGTGGATTAGCCCCATCCAGTGAGATTAGAAATACAGATACTCCAGGGGCAGATGGGCTCAGAAGACAGAGGCTGAGGCAGCAGGTGCTGCCTGGGAAACATGAGTTTGGGCAGCCTTGCTGGAAGGGAGAGGCTGAACCGTGCTCAAGGAGAAGGATGAGATGGGAACCCGATAGGCTGCTCAGAGGAACAGTGTGCTCTGACGCTACTGCTGCCTATGCCAATGTCCCTTTTCCAAAGTGACACCTAGCACAGAAGGTCTCTAGCCCAGCACACAGACAGAGGCCTTCATCACAGACACAGCACGTCAGGCTTAGGTGCTAGTCATTATAGACAAAGGATGGCAAGCAGAAACCCTAGCGTGTAAGAGGATGAGGCCATGTGGCTCAGCCGTGGGGCTCTGTGACTAGAGTGCAGCCAGGCAGGCGAGGCAATTCCACGTGTTCAGAGGGACACAAGTTCCTGGAGGGTGCTTGCTCCAATGAGGTCATGGTGTCGGGGAGGAATAGGGCAGAGCAGGCTTGCAGGGTGTGCTGTGGGAATTCCAGTCAGAGTTGCCCAGTGGTGCCGAGGCCCTGTGTGCAGAGGGCGGATGGTGGGAGACCCCATCAAGGCACCATTCGAGGGCAAAGAAGGCCTGGCTATTGGGGCATGAGGTTCCCATCAGATATCACCATGCTGTCTGAGCTGCAGAAGGTTTGGGAAGCTAAGAACCCCAATTTGCACTTAGGAAGAGGATTGATGGACTGCTGGGAAGAACACCTTGGATCCTGTGTTTGCAGATGTGGCTGTGAATACCAGGCTGGCTGGTATAGCTGGGTGACTTTGGATAAACCATTTAGCTCTTTCTATTGGGAAATGGGCAGAACAGAACTTCTCCAGAGCAAGCTGGGGCTTCCTAGGGGCAGCAGGTCACTGACCTTTCTTCCCCAGGTCACCCTGTGCACTTTGTTCACCCTGAGGTGCTTCTCTAGCTTGCACCCATGTGGTGCCAGTCTTATCCCCAGATTTGTCTGGTATGACTACCACTCCTTGCAGGGCTGGGGCATCACTGCCCCCAGGTGAGAACCAGAACCTTGCGGCGTGGCTGGAGGCCAAGATGCAATGTAAGTGAGGTACCTGGCCCGGGGTAGGCACCAGGGTGCTGAGTGGATAAACTCACCGTTACAGAGGGGAGACCCAGGAGGGTCATCATAGTGCAGGCGACATGAGTGAGGACAGAGTAGGTTCTGCCCGGAGAGATTGAGCAGTGGGCTCTGCAGCGCTTGCACACTGATAGAGGAGGAGCATGCCTGGTACCTGATGGGCTAGGGGGGCAGAGCACGGCCCTGCGGGAAAGGCGAGGACAAACAGCAGGGGCCAAGCTTCCCTGAGCTGGGCCTGCGCGGGGCCTCAAGGGCACTGCTACAGGAGCCGGACTCATGAGAGGCAAGGAGGCTACACGCTCATGCTCCCTGTGGCTGGAAGGTAGATCACTCAAGGCAAGGCACAGGCCTGGAGGAGATGCTCAAGCTGGAGGCCAAAGAGGGCCCAAAGGACAACGAGTGAGTCCTGTGGCTCAGCATCCCTGGCTTCGGAGGGTGTCATCCAGGGAAGCACTCTCGAAGAACCTCATGGAAGCTGGAGCTGACAGCAGTACCTTTTCCTCGCTGGCTGCTCTTTAGAGGAAAGGCCAGCACCCCACTGTCCACAGACACTGAAGACACAGGCTGCTGGCGTCCTCCCGAGGCCGTGACGCAGGCTGATGCCGGCAGCCACAGTCTTGGCCCGTCCACCCAGCCCTGGGCAGGCCACGGAGGGAGGCCCCAGTGAGCCTGGGGGTTGGCGGGTGAACTGGCTCATCTTTCCTGCCAAGAGAAGAGGTCTTCAGGAGCACAAGATGCAGTCGCACACATGACTAGGTGGCACGTTTTCACACCCAAAACATTTCCCTTGAGACAAAACAAATCACCCGACGGACACCCCCTCCCTCCCTCCTTCCCACAACTTCAAAAGAGGATGCTCCCCACACACAAAAGAGACAGAGAACAGGACACTCCAGACCACATAGCAGCCTCACCTCCACCCTGACCCACCCGCGGCCCGGAGCGGAGACCCATCCTGCACCTCACACCGCAGGAGCGAGCTGGCGCGGCCGTGCAGGGGAGCTTGTGTCTGTGTGTGATGTGCCTTCATGCGTCACTCTATTTATGTTGTTCGCAGCCCAACGGTAGCAGCCAGGGCAAAGTCCCGGGGTCATTTTTGCTACCACCGCCGCCTCCAGTGGCCAGACCTGTGCCCCTTCCTATGCCTGATTCCAAATCCACCAGCACTGCCCCAGACGGCGCCGCCTTGACTCCTCCATCACCTTGTAAGTGGACGATGAAACCAAAACCACAACGCCCAGCATCCCTGGCCCATCCAAACCTTCTCCACTGCAAAAGAGAAGCAGTAACCCCCAACCCAGAACACCACGGAGCCTCCCGCCCGGATAGGAGCAGAGCTGAGCCCCCAGCCACGGCCTCCTGGGCCTCAGTTGCACCAGCCAGCACCCCACAGGCCCACTCCCCACTGCTCCCAGCGGGGGCCCCTGGCCCAGGCCCCCCTGGGGGGCGGGAGGGAGAGCAGAGTGGGGCGCCAGGCCAGGGGTGCTGGCGTGGGTTGGGGGGCGGGAGGCGCAGCCATGCCATCTTCATGCCTGATTGCTGTTTTTTTCCGTTTTTTTTTTTTTTTTTTTGGTTTTTTTTTTTTTTTTTGGTTTTGTTTTTCATTTTTTTTGTTGTTTTGTTGTTCCACACGCACACCCCCAAAATTAAATGTAACCACAAGGCGACGCCACCACCATCCCCTTTTTTTGCCTTGCCCCTCACCTCCATTCTGGCCCTTGGGCCTCAAAAGATGCAGGAGGCCAGCCCTGGCCCCTGCCCTCAGCCTGAGTTTGGTTTCTCTTGCTCCTCTTTTCTTTTCCTGCTCCCACCCTCACCCTCCCTTCTCCTCAGCTCCTTTCCCAGGTGGCTGCTCCAGGGACAAGGGAGGCTCTGGGCCCAGCTCACTTCACCTCTCTTTCTATATCTCTTCTTCTTTTCTTTTAAAACTGATGACATGTTTTGTCAAAGTGAAGAAAAGGAAAATCTGGTGGAGAAGCCCCAGCTAGACCCGACGTGAAGGCAGGAGAGGCGGAGGCCGGGTGGCACTGTCTGCGGCAGGGTGGGCGGGTGGGGACCGCGGGCCAGGTCGCTGCGCAGCAGGCAGGCGGGTGGCAGGCGGGCGGCCATCTCCACACTGCCCTGTGTTCGCGCTCCCTACCTCTCCTTTCTCCTCATGGTTTGAGTTCTTTCCCTCCCCGTTCTCCTCATGCCATCTTCTCATCTGCACCTGCCATCAGACGCGCATCATGATCATGGCCATTGGAGGCGGGCGCGAGGTGGGTGGGAGCTGGGCTGCTGGGTGGGGGTGCTTCTGAAAAAAGAGCACGGTGTCTGGTTAGCACAGGGCCCCAGGTGTGTCTGCTGCAGTGGGGTGGGCCGCCCGTGGCACTGCTCCCCCTCTGGGGTTCTCTTCCCTCCTGAAGCACAGCTCAGAGGTCAGTCCCCCGGGTGCCTGAGCTAGGTTGCTCTGCCAGGCATCAGCCTCTTCCTCTGTTGCCTTGGCCCACTGCAAATACTAGCCTGGCCTGGGGATCAGAGAAGTGTGGCGCAGGACTGAGCGCTGCGGCCCCGGGCCCAAGCCCAGCAGCTGGCTCCTAGGTCCACCTGTTTGTGCCCTTTTCTGGTGCAGCCCACTGTGTGCTCTGTTCTGAGTCCCTGGAGCCACTGGGCTGACCCTTGGGGTTCCCAGGGTGGTAAGTGGTGCCGCACCCCGTCCCCCAGACTACAGGGTGGACAGGTGGACTGAATGAGCCCCTCCCGTACCCCCACTTCAAGTAAGAAAGCCAGAGTTCCCATGAAGGGCACATGGGCCCCAGGATTACCCCCAGTGCTGTCCAGTATGTCCACAGGGGACAGAACTGGACTCACAGGACCTCAACTCTGGTGTCCAGGGCCCCTTCTTGCCCTGGGCCATGAAAGAGAAGATACCTGCACAAGGTTGGGCGTGCTGGGAGCAGGGTGGCATGCGCTCCCTGCTGTGGGCACCACGGCTCCACCTGTCCTTCCTGAGGCCAGCTGCATCTCAGCAGCCAGCAGTGCTGTCTGACCCCAACTCTCCCTTTCTCAGCCTTCCTGAAGGGCAGTGCCAGGTGAGCTGGAAGGCCTGACGGAGGTCTCTCCTTTCTCCCCTGCTCCCCACAGCATTCTCAACGACAGGCGCCTCCTCTGCCAACCGGTTTGTCAGCATCGGACCCCGGGACGGCAACTTTCTGAACATCCCACAGCAGTCTCAGGTAGGTGAATGCCTCAATGAGTGGGTCAGGGAAGCAGGGCAGGAGGAGGCTGGGGTCCTGCAGCTACACAGAGAGCGGCCCGTGAACTGGGCCAGGGCATTGGCATGCCCAGCTGAGCTGCCTCCCCAGGCAGCCCCCAGGCTCCCTGCTAATCAGCTAATTGGATAATTAGCTCTGACAGCCCTGGCCCTGGGGAAGGCGGCCAAGGACCCAAGGCTAGAGGCGCTCTGGGCAGGCCTGGTAGAAGCAAAGATGGAAGCCTGAGGTGCCTCGTTCTCTTCCCACCCTCCCAGCCCTCCCGCCCTGGCTTTGGGTGGGCTGGGCAAGGCATGAGGAGGGACAGAGGCAGCCTGGTGGGCGCCTTGCCCAGAGACTCTGGACCCAGGGCAGGGCAGGGCTGGCGGCTGCCCTGGCCCCTCCCATGTCCTGAGTAGCCTGGTAGGGGGCAGGCCAGGCTTCAGGAGCTTCTGGTCCCCACTCCCTGCTCCTGCTGATACCACCCTGTCCCAAGGATACAGCCACCTTGTACCCTGCCACTAGGCCCTGGACTTGGCCATGCATACCCATGTGCACACATGTAGGCCTGTCCCCAGAGTCTAGGGGTGCCCTTGGGGGTGCAGAGAGGTTCTGCCTCAGCAGCAGGACAGAGGCAGGGCTTGAAGGACATGGGTTTCAGAAAAGAGCACACAGATCTGTTTCTCTGGTGCATTTTACAAAAATGCCCCCATTTTGGCTTCTTCCTTGGCTTCCCTGGCCCTGGGAATCCATCTCTTCCAGCATCCCCAGGGCTCCTTCTGCCTACTGTGGCTGCTCCCCCTCTGCCCAGAGGCCCCAGTGCAGAGAAAGTTGCTGGGTGGAAGTTTTGCTGTGTGTGGTTTGAGGGTGGTTTTTTTCCTTTTCTTTTCCTTTCCTTCCCTCAAAAAAAAAAAAAAAAAAAAAAAAAAAGCCAAAAACTTTGTCAAACTTCAAACTTCAGAGCTCCCTAGTGGCAAGGAGGGGAGGGGAAGGGAACTCCAGCCCCCTCCAGCTTCCCACCCCCTTTCCCCAGAGTCACGTCTGACCCGTCTGGTTTCCAGGAGCAACCAGACATGATGTAACACCCAGATGAACTTGAACTTGGGGGTGTTGGGAAGGAAAACAATGGCTCCGAGCAGGGGCTGGAGCCAGCCCCCTCTGCTCTGTGCCAGGGAGGCCGAGAGAGCCCTGCTGGCAGAGGTGGGAGGGAGTGCCAGGAGGAGGGGCAGCAGGCAGCCGCCCTACCGCTCTGGGCTGGCACCGGGGGCTGGGCTCCGTGGCCCCTCACCCCTCCTCCCTCCCTCCCTCCCTCCCTCCCTCCCCTGCCGCCAGCAGCTCTCCAGTGCGCCTGCTCAGCCACAGCCTCCAGCCCTCCCCTCTCAGTTTCTCTGCTCACTTCACTTGTTTTGGGGCCAAATGAGAGTTGGAGGCAAGTTTGGGAAAGTTTCTCTCCCCCATATTCCCCATCTCAAGCCCTGGGCTTTGGAAGAAGGAGTTCCGGTGTGGCCCAGCACCCCTGAGTGGGCAGGTGTGTCCAGGGGATGCCAGGAGCCTGAGCTGGACCTGCTTCCAGTAGGAGTCCTAGGGCCTGGGGCTGGGCGGGCACAGGGGTACAGTCAGGGGTGGTTTCCACAGTAACCAGTGACTTTAGCTGATCCCTGGAGCACCAGATGGAGAGAGAACAATAGAGTAAGTGAAGAAAAGAGAATTTTAGCAGTTTTGTCATTCCCTGGGCAGCGCTTTTTACTTAGTTTTAATCAATTTTGGACCTGGCTCAGGAAGCAGGGAGGATTGAGCAGAAAAAGCCTCGACGTGCTTGGCAGCAGACCCCCTGTTCCCAGGACTTGTGGGGAGGCGTCAGGGAGCCCCATTGCAGCAGCCTTTGTCCCTAGTTCCAAGTCTGGGACTAGAGCCTTCCTCTTCTAACGGGGCACCCTTCAGTCTGAGAGTTGGTGGTTGTGCCCCATGCCATGAAGATCAGGAGACCCCAAAGTGGCCAGCATGGGGCCTTGGCAGTGTCTACCAACAAGCAGGGCAGGTGTGGCCTCCTTGGGAGGAGGTGGGGGCAGGTTCCTGTCCATAGCCAGCCTCCACTACCCTGGGGCAGTGGTACAGGGCTTCCCCAAGGGCCCCTGTGTGGGGGGTCCTGGAGAAAACAAGGAGCTGGCTGCTTACTCTGGGGCTGCCACAGGCCCCAGGGAGCCTCTGCTGGGCTCAGTCCACAAGGCCGAGGAGCAGTGCGTGTCTGTGCCTATGTCCAGGGCAAGCAGATCCACAGCTCTGTCACCAGCAGCACTGTCAGCATCACAGCGTGAGACCTCATATTTCCAGTTGCTCTTCATCTCATGTGTGGCTCTATCCGTTCAAATTAATTAAAGAAAAACTCAGATCCCAGTCACACGAGCCATACATATTGCAGGTGCTCCGAAACCACTGCTCTGAGCAGCGGAAATGGGATTTCTGTTGTCAAGAAAGTAGTTCCTTTGAGAGAAGATCTTGCTAGGTTTCCAGGCCCGTCCTGCATTCCTCAAGCAGCCCTCAGCATTTGCCACCTTGCTCAGCTTCTCTAATGCCCTTTTTAATCCTAGCTCTTGGGATCTGTCACAATGGATGACACCCCGAGATCCCAAACCAGAGCCCAGCTTGTAGCAGTGAGGCATTTTAAAGATTGCAGTTTTCATAGGAAGTGTGCTCCGGGTTTCTGACTTCTTCTGAGAAGCTCACAGCTCAGTATGCCTGGCCCTCACCCTGGGCTGGTATAGGTCTTCTGTCAGCCACAGACCCTGCCTCCTGAGCCTGTTACCCAGGACTCTGTGCTGGCTTTGGTGTGGGCTTGGGGGAAGGACAGCTGAGTTAGTGCCTGGCCTCTAGATCAGAGACAGGGCTCTGAGGTGATCTCAGAAGTCCCATTCTGCCCTGAGGAATTGCCAAGTGTACCTGGGCACACACCTGTGCCTGGAGAAAAGCCCCCTGATGCACTCTTGGTGGGGAGACAGGTGAAACCCACCAGCCTCGATGGAGGGCGTTGCCAAGCAGCGCATACCCCTGGGTCCACCCTGGGTATGCTTGAGTAGTCACCAGAGAAGGCCCTGTGTGTGAGGAGGCGGTGCCCCCTGCTGGTGGAACGAGGGAAAGACACCACCCCAGGGTGCCCTGAGGGCAGAGCATCGCACGTGGTGGGACACAGCCCCTCCCCCAGGCCTGGTGCTGCCCCGGACCAAAGCCATGCGTCCCCGTCCCCCCCCCCCCGCCCCCAGCCTTTCAGCCTGTGGGACCTTGGCTGGGGTGCCCAGACGGGAATTGCTTTTAATCCAAAGAGACAGAAAGAAAACTCAGCAAGAAGCTGGGCTACCCCCACCCCACTCACCAAACCCCTCTGGGTACAAAAGCCCCGGCCTGGCATCCTCCCCACCCTCCAGGACCCACACAAAACCCTAAACAATTGCAAACATGGCCAGATCTCAGGTTTATGCCAGCGCCAGCCATGGGGGTCCCACCCGCCGGGCACGGTGCCCACGGGAAGGCCAGCTGGACTCCAGCACTGGGGGCAGGGCCTGGGGGATTCCCGTGGAGGGTGGGAAGAGCAGGCCCTACTTCCTTCTCCACCTCTAGGGCTGTGCAGCACCTAGGGGAGCAGGACCCTGGCTCTCAAGGGTGGCAGGTCGGCTCCTAGAGCCTGGCAGGAATGACATGGGCTCACTCCAGCTTTCTCATTGTCACGGGTTTGGTGTTTTTTTTTTTTTTTGTTTTTTTTTTCTGTTTTGTCTGTTTCAGTCCTGGTTCCTCTGATAAGATCGACAAACAACAAAATGAAAAAAAGAGGTTCCTTTTTTTTGTTTTTTTTTTCTGTTTTGTCTGTTTCAGTCCTGGTTCCTCTGATAAGATCGACAAACAACAAAATGAAAAAAAGAGGTTCCTCAAGGGGGGAGAAAAAATTTTGAGACATGGAAAAAATCCCCCAGCCCAGCCCAGCCCAGCCCCACCGAAAAGCAAAAATTAGACGTCGTCAGCCACTCAGCCCTTCTCTCCTCCAGCCCGGGGACCCCTCGGGCCCCCGAAGCAGCCCAGTTCTGAGAGCCCTCGGAAGGGGTCTCGGTGGAGCTGTACACCGGCAGCCAAGCAGAAAGAAACAAGCAAAATGGGCTCTGCCAAGCAGAGGACAGACGGAAAGAAAGGACGCGGCAGGACTGCCTCCTTCCCTCCCCCACGGTCATCCGGGGAAGGAGCGGACCCTCTTCCCCAGCAACCAGCACCCTTCCCAGGGGACCCCACCCTCACTCAGGCCGGAGTGACCCTCGGGAGCCTGGAAGATGTTGAGGTGTAGATGCTAGAATCCCCTCTATCTAGACTCCGCCCCTCTTGCCCTTCCTCCTGGCCTTGGCTCTGGCTTCTCCAGCTACTCTGGACCAGGCAGGCTCCCCCAGGGTGGGCAGAGGGTGAGCCTAGAGTGGAGGGTTTCAGCTACCCCCCCTCCAGCCGCAGGGACTGTTCCCTGGCTGGGCCCTCTGTAAAGTCCACAGGAAAACGTCCGAACGCGGGCAGCCCTCAGCCTGGGACAGGCCCCCGCCCCCTTCTCCCTACACAGGCCAGGAGCCAAGGGAGGTGGCCCCTGGCCGCCCCACACCCCAGCCCCGCATGCAGGTGCCCCACAAGCTGGGGCCGGGTCCAGAGTGGAACGGAGAGGGGACCCCGGAACCCAGCAAGGAGGACAAGGCAGCCGCTGTTGCCGCCGGGCTATGCGGCCACCTGCGCTTAGGTAGGCGTCCTGCTCACTGCCCACCCGCCCGTAGACTTTCATTTCCTGGGGAGGTGTTGGGTATTGTCCTTTCGAGAGTGTTCTGGAGCTTTCTGGCCCCCTCCTTCCCGCCGTAACCCCCACCCTCTCATGGCCACTTGTCCTTGGATCTTAGTTGTATTGTCTTTCCTCTCGACTTAGGGGTGGGGCAGTCGTCCTTTGGGTCTTTCGCTGTTGAGGTTGGGAACTCCTCCGTTTGAGCAACTTGGGAACAGTTTGGTCACACCCCACAGGAAGTAGCTCCCCAGCCTCTCCTCCCCCGAGGATGGGGGCATATCCAGAGGTCCAGCAGAAGCCCGGGGAGGGAGGGAACGGGAGCGCCCAGCCCGGCGGGGTGTGACCCGGCCCCTCTAGCTTGTCTTTCTGTGCCTTACTCCTCCTTCCTGCGTCCCCCTCGGCCCTTTCTCAGTCCTTGTGCCTCTCTCTCTCCCTTTCTTAACGGTATGAAAACAAAAAGCACAGGTCAGGATCCTCGGAAAGTCAGTCCAACATTGCACCACGTAGGGGTGGGTTATGGGCTTTATTTATTGAGACTCTATAGTTTGCGAGGCTGTGGCCCCAGCAGGCAGAAGAGGGAAGGAGCCTTCAGGGCGGGAGAGGGCTGCGACCATGGCGGGGTGCTTCCCCTGCACGGCCTCGGAGGGAAATTGAGGAAGCCACGCCCTCCTGGCCACGGCAGAGGACGGGGCGGGGGCGGGGTCCCGCGGGCTGGGGTGGGGAGTGAGGCCGGGGTGGGGGGCCGGGCGGCCGGGCGTGACGCGCGGTCAAAGTGCAATGATTTTTCAGTTCGGTTGGCTAAACAGGGTCAGAGCCGAGAGCGGAGCGGGAGGGGCCCTTGCCGGCCGGCCGCGTGCGCCCCTTCCGTCGACGACAATCGGGGGTCCGCGGGCGCCGCCCGGGCGGGGTCGGAAGCTGCAGGCCAGCTGGGCCCGGGAAGGAGGTGGCGGGGACGGGTGGGGAGCGGCGGGCAAGGGGAGACGAGGGCACCGGGGATGTGGGATGTGTTAGGAGGAAAAACCCACCAAAATGTATATGGGGAAATGAACTTTTTTTGTTTTTGTTTTCATTGAACCAAGTGCAATGCATCAGAGTTTTCCTATCTTTGTATGTTAAGAGATTGTTAAGAAAAAAATTCTATTTTTGTTGTAATGTCCTCGAGGCTCTGGGGACGCTAAAAGAACTGGGCCTGCCCCGCCCTGCGCGGAGGTAACGAAAGCTGAGTGTTTCTTCCTTTTTTTTTTTTTCTTTTTGGTTCGTTTTCAGTTTTAAGTCGTTTTCCTGCGTTGACGAGGATGATTTGGGGTTTTTGTTTTGTTGTTCGTTCTCGATTTCGGTGGGAGGGCTGAAGGAAACGTTCATGTTTTGGATTAAAAAAAAAAAAAAACCACCTCACCTCGACATAAAAAGAAAAAACCCACAAGATCAAAAAGGAAAAAAGGACGAGAAAATTATTTTTAGGATAATTAAACATAAAACCCTGGTGCTTCTTACATTATAAAGTACGTTTTAAAAAACCCACAAACTATTATACATAAGTTTATGATCAGTTAAATATCCTGCACTTGTTAGGAACAGCATATCCCTTCCTTGTTGAGCTTAACGGAACGGGACGCGGCGCGCGCCGGCGGCGGCGCTGCTCGGCCGCGGGTCTCCCGGGCGCCCCTCCCGGCCCAGCGCCCTTGTCGCCCCATCCCCGCCCCGGCTGGGGGGCGCGGCGGGGTCCCCGGTCCTTCCCTGCAGAGGTCAATGCCAACGAACAAATGTCCTCTTCCTCCCCTCTTCCGTCCCGTCCCGCCCCACCCCGAGCGCCCTTCTTTGAGCCAGACGCCAACTTGACCCTCACCAGCATTATCAGGAGCGC